CTGGTTGAACTCTATACTGTCAGAAAAAAGGGCACTGTACAAGTGCATGTCTTCAATTCCATTGGTCCTAAGGTCCAGTACATTGGTCTCAAAAAGTCCAATCGTTTATCTTAAATAAGGGCAACACTATCACAAACATGTAATTTTAAGGTTATTTTAAGTGTGGCTTCTTGAGTACATCCTTGTCCTACAATAAGGCAACTGGTCATGGCATCAATGGGATTCACAATCTCTGTATGATAGGTCAAGATTTTTAGGAGATAAAATAAAAGGAAGATAATAAATAAAACAGGATAAACATTTATCTAATGAATTAAAACCATAATGCTTATATCTGCATAGTCAAAAGCTACATTATGTAAGTTTTGGGGATTTAGAGGCTTCTTTAAAATGGAACTGAGAACTCTGGAACTGTGTAACTGCATGTAACGTATGGAAGAACATTCTGTAACATCAGTTGTCGTGTGGATGAATCTGATGATTGTGAGCGTGTTGAAAGAGTATTCAAAGAGAACTCAGTCAAAACTTGGTGAAGGACATGTCTTCTGAGGATGTGAGTTATCTGCTATTGTCATCACATCTTCATCAGTATAATGTTGCATGTGAGACCAATAATCGATCTGGATCTTCTTCTTGAGCCTGTAAGTATGACATTAATATATAAGTATGATGTGGTGCAAAAAAATCCTGCAAAATCTTACATAATGTTGCTTACACAGGCACGTCTTGAACATTTTTCCTGATTGACCCATTATGAAGTGTTTTTAGTTTAAAAACAAATGCATTGGTGTTTCTTTGAAGTCTGTATGTTATTATTTATGAAAAAATGCATAATGTTAAGAACAAGAACACCTAAGCCTTCTTCTGGAAGCTTCATGACTGAATGCAGAGTCAAAATAAAGAAAATGAGAGTCATTACTGTGAAACCATTATTACTGAAACACTAATATTTCTGATGAATGATTAGCTATTGGTTCAGTATGCATATGTAAGAAGACTTTGATCACTTTGCAAAAGCCAAATAGGCAAATTCTTTATAGCTGAAGGTGCTGCATGCAGTACTGAGAAAACCACTGCTGCTCATTTCTCTCTTCTTCTTCTTCGTAGCAGCATCAAGCAAAGGAAGTAATTGGCTGTACTGCAGGAGAGGGACTGCAGTCTCTCTGCACTCTTATGTCTCATTCCTTATTCCCAACACATAATTCAACCAACAGACAGCCTGCTGATCAATACCCAAGCCTGCAGGAAAGGGCTTTTTTATAATTAATCAATAATTTATTTATTTTTGTTGTTTTTAATTATTGAGTTTTGATTACAAATCAAAAACACCTGAAAAACAGTGTGTGGTCAGCTAAATAATTGATTAATTACTTCTGAGCAGTATATCAACTTTTGTTGCTTTTGAAGAATATATATAGGGATACACTCATATGGTTTTATAGCCATAGTTCACACATTAATCCAGTCAAAGACGGAAGAAGAAGTCCATTGATTTTTCACAATTTCTACGTAAACCAGCTGTTGAGATGTGGAGAGTTAATTGCAGAGAAAATGACTGACTCACATTTCTTTACAGTGGTGGTGATGTGAACCTGGGGTCACAATGTCATCAAAATAAATACAGCCAATTGATTTAATATCCAAAGTGAGCAATGAATCTACACACATCTTCTGAGTTTTTATGTGTTTTTGTAGCGTTGAATAATGTAAAGAATACACTCTCTTTAGGTACACTCTTGAAAACGATGGTTCTTCAAGGGTTCTTTAGTAAACAAAATAGTTCTGTATAGAACCATGAGCACTTTGCACGATTAAAGAGTTCTTTGCATCATGAAATGGTTCTTCAGATTGATGGAGACTTGATGTTGCTGTGGAATAATGGAATATTTATTATTTGTACTATTCTACAATACATATTCCATTATTCCAATAAGAATAATTATGTATCTTACACCCCTAATGTATACAGCACCGTGCAAATGTCTGACTACTCATTTCTTTCATTTCCAGTCAAAACAGCCAATGAGTACAAGTTATTAATTTTTCAGGAGATATTTCTGAAAAGCTCCACTCTTGCTTCATATCTGGAAAAAATCCACAGGTGTTTCTGTCTATCCTTCGATTGAGAGCAGATAAATCAACACCAAGAGTCTGAAAAGGAGCGCAGCTGTCAAGAAGCCATTACTGAGAAAAGGAAATAGACAAAAAAGTTACGTAATTAATTAGTTAATAAAACAAAGAAGCTGCTTATGTTCTCAGAACAACGGACTAACCACGCCCAAATCCAGACATCAGTATCACTGAATGTGTTTGGGATTACTTGGATTGTGAGAAGCAGAAAATGCAACCAACTTTTAAGACTGAAAACTGACACTTTGTCAGTTTGGAATAAAATCCTTGCAGATTTCTCTGAAAAACAGCAACCAAGTCTTCTTAGAAGAATTTAAGCTATAATAAAAGCAAAGTGTGGACCCACTAATTCTGAAAACTTAATATATTTAATGTTCTAAAGCTTCTGTGTAATTTTCTGTTAAATATGTTTTCTGCTTTTTCCCTAACACTAAGAAATTAATTGTATTTAGTTGGTGTTTTGACTAGAAATAAAAGAAAGGTGGTCTCTGAATTTTGCACAGTACTATATAGCAATGTCTTTGTAATAGCAATGTAATTGCATTTTACTTACATAATCCTATTTAGCTCGCATTCTACACATTCACACTAAAATTCCAGATATGATCGCCCATCAAAACTGAAGCACATTCTCTTAGAGCCTACAGTCAACCCCCAAAATATCTTCTCCCTAGAATACAGACAGAGGTTTTAAAGGGATAAAACTCCTGTATCTCTTCCCTGATGCATTATTCTCTCTGACAGTGACCTTGAAATGCACATCACCGCTCAGGCTCCACAGCTCACTGTGTGACACACACCGTTTAAGAAAAGAAACAATAGTGGCTTCATTCATAAACATTTCTGAGCTGGTAGAAAGCCTGTGCATGACTCAAGGACACAGAGAGGGAATTTGTTGTGCACTTCCTGTCTGTCTAAGCTCAGCAGAACATATTCACGCTTTTACACTGTTTACTACAGCAGGGAGCTGAAGTCTGGGTCTGGGAAAGTGCCATCCTAACTGCACACTGTTCGCTCAGAGCATTTGAAAGAGATTACCCCCAGTGATGGGATATGATTTGTATTACTATAGCATGCTGTAATCAACTTTTAAATTAAACTTCCCCCACTAAGTTTCCCAAGGGGTGTCCAAGGCCCCTAAATGACTTACCCAGTATGTGCTTACTTTGCTTTACCAACAAAACTGTCAAAATGACTGACGGGCTGAAATATCACAGTATGACAGCTGCTTCACAGGGCTGACGATACTAGTTTAAAAGTCACATTGCAAAATTTGAGGTTTTTGCAATTAAAACAAAAAGGAGCATCATTACAAAGGCTGCCAAATTCAGAATATTTGTCAAATTCAATAAAAATGCATGTTCCAATGTAAAAGATAATGATTTAAATGTAATAAATAAAATAACAATAATATATTTTGGCTGTTGGTGTCAAAGTTAAGGCGATAGTAACACATTAAAGTGATATGTTTTTAATGTCATTAATTTTTTAATGCAGTTAACAGCACCTTTTTTCAATTCTCACAACCCCCAGGTTGAGGATCTCTGGTTTATACCAGCATGAGCTTATGAGGATGCATGATATGTAATGCCATGACATGGCATTTACTGCTGTGATGTATCCTACTCATTTTTTTGTATCCAGAAAAAAGTGACAAAACATACAAGAGAAAAATACAAATTTCACGACGAAAAAACTGTCCACAAAATGGTCAAAACACCATACTGTAAGTACACTGCTATATGTTGCAACTGCAATGTTCCTTTCAATTTACTGATCCATTTCTTTTACTTTGACCCATTCAGTTATGGAAAACTGTCCACCTGCTCAAAGTTGCTATCAGGGCAGCTGCTGAAGTCTACAAGCAACGAAGGCAGAGATTGCTCTCTGATACAATGTCACTGGAGTCACTGAACAAATGAGTAATGTCAGTCTTCTCTTTCTCTCCAGCAGAAATGCTGAAAAAGCAGAGAAACCCATCCAGAGAGAGAGAGAGAGAGAGAGAGAGAGAGAGAGAGAGAGAGAGAGAGAGAGAGAGAGAGAGAGAGAGAGAGAGAGAGAGAGGGAGAGGGAGAGAGAGAGAGCACTTATGCTGTTCTTTATTCCTTCTTTACTAAGGAGGAAATTTTACAGTGCCAGTGTGTGATTAAGCAGATAGATTTTTACAGACATCACAAAGCAGCTTTACAGAAAATTCAGGTCCAAGCCCCACCGAGCGACACCTGCAAGTACAAACTCCCTTTGAGCATAAGGAAAAATTCTGAGAGGAACCAAGACTCAAAAGGGGAACCCATCCTCCTCTGGTCGACACCAGATAGCAAAACAATAACACGACAAGGGCTGAACAGAGGATAAGATTTTTCAATCAATATACAATACTGAATATAGAGAAAAAGAAAAAAAAACATCTTGTCATTGGACAGAAGTATTTAGATGGAGGGATGGAGGAATGGAGGGATGGAAGCAGTAAGAGTGAAGAAACAGCAAAGGGATTTTCAGCTGCAGTGCTGAACTGCATTCTGGCTTGTAGTTCAGAGATGCCACAAAGGTTGAAGTGATTTAAACAGGGACGACTGCAGTGGTGAAAGCCTCCACTTCATCATCAAATATTTCTATCATTGCCATCATTATTCTAAATATCTTCTTCATCGTTGTCCTCGTCATCATTATCCCAAGGCAAACTACCTCCATTTCTTCAGCAACAGGTCATGTGAAGCATCACTTTCGTTCTTCACAGAACTCTGGCTGAGAATTAAAAACACTTAGACAGCAAGCAAAATGCTGTGTTGCCATGGTGAAGGACCCAGTGGGTGAGCTCCATTCAAAAAGAAAAGAGCAGAATGGAGGGGAGGGAGAGCGATTCTACTCACAGTGTACAGCTCGTTCGTCACTTTCACCAACTCTTCATGCATCTGAATACCAATTTCTTTACTCTGGAAAAAAAGAAAGCAAACGTCAACAATGGTTACAAATATTATTCTGAGCAAACATGAACATAAAATATGAATAAAGAGTTTAACTACCCCACAGACTGAGGTTACAAATCAGTAATGTTCAAATGCACATCACAAAATGGTAATTAGGAAAAGAAAGAAAGAAAGAAAGTCTAATTTAAGAAGGAAGAAAGGAAGAAAGAAAGGAAGGATGGACAACAGACAGACAGAAAGAAAGAAAGAAAGACGGAACAAAGGAACCTAGACAGACAAAAAGAAAGAAAGGAAGAAAGAAAAAGTCTAGTTTAGGAAGGAAGGAGGAAAGTAAGGACAGACAACAGACAGACAGAAAGACAAAACAAAAGAATATAGACAGACAGAAAGAAAGAAAGAAAGAAAGAAAGAAAGAAAGAAAGAAAGTCAAGGAAGGAAGGACGGACAACAGACAGACAGAAATATGGAACAAAAGAATATAAACAGACAAAAAGAAAGAAAGAAAGAAAGAAAGAAAGTCTAGTTACGAAGGAAGGAAGGATGGAAGGAAGGAAGGAAGGAAGGACGGACAATAGACAGAAAGAAAGACAAAACAAAAGAAAATAGACAAAAAGAAAAAGAAAAAAGAAAGAAAGAAAGAAAGAAAGAAAGAAAGTCTAGTTTAGGAAGGATGGAAGGAAGGACGGACAACAGACAGACAGAAATATGTAACAAAAGAATATAAACAGAGAAAAAGAAAAAAAGAAAAAGAAAGAAAGAAAGAAAGAAAAAGAAAGACAGACAGACAGACAGACAGGTTTTATAGAGTGTGTGATGAGGGTGATCAGCTGTAGTGAGGGCCGTGTCATTTACAGTGAGTGTAGTTTTGCTCTCAGCGTGTTCTAAAGACTCTCGGCATGTCTGTGGTTTGTAGTTAGATGTTTTGTGCAGGGCTTCATTTTCCTGTGATTATCGCAGGTCTATGTTTAGCAGCAGTGCAAATGTCAGTCTTTTCATTACGCTTCACCAAGTCTCGCTCACATTCCATGACAACAACCAAACCAGCTTGTGAGGGGTTTAAAAACTGAAGGAAGCGATTAAAATAAATTATCCAATATTTGACCCTTCTCTCTTTCATCATGGTGGTCTTTCATGTCCAATTCTGCTTCTTGGGCTGGACTCTCAAGAGTGACCACAAAGTGAGGACAGAGTAAAGTACTGTTGATCTGAGTCTTTAGTTTAGCCTAAATTTAGCTGACTGTACAGAAGAAAGAAGAACATGTTGTGCCAAGATGTCAGAAAGAGACACATGGACCCTCATCTTTCAGATAACTGTACAGTAACACTCTGATTAAGCAAAGGCAAAACACGACACATACAAATCAAATCAAATCAAATCAAATTTATTTGTATAGCGCTTTACAACACCAGAGCCCAGCAATGTGTTAGTTTTTTCAGGACAAGTGAAAGAAAAAAATCTGAATTTTTTTTTGCATACATATTTAGAGTTTAATTTACATATTGATTTACATACGTATTGTTTACGTATTGGATACTATTACTATTATTATTGTATTTTCATTAGAGGTTGCAAAGCACATTTACAGCCATCATATAAATATTTTCACCCCAAAATAAATGCATTTCTCAACATAAAAGTAACTATCTAGCAGTGACAAATGATGTAGATGCTACTGTACATTTCTGCATTGTACAATGAACACAATGCTAAAAAATAACATTGAACAAGGAATGGTAATCTTGACGTTTGTCCTCTGCTTTTAGTTTGGTGAGCAATTTCATACGCTACCTTCACTGTGAGGGTTTTGTTAATGTGCCTGTGTGTACACTGGTGTACAGTTTCTTGGTATGAAGAGGAATGATTTATGTCTGCTTCCCCAGTGCCCCTTCATACTGATAAATCACAAAGTGCTGTAATACCCAACAATCAATACAGCCTGCATCAGTGCAGCTTGTGCACACGACTACATCTGGGGACTGAGAGTCTCTCTTTCTCTCTCTCACACACATCCATTTACAAACCCTGCCCTCCACATTAAGGGAAACAAGAGCCTAAATAAATCTCATTTGTGCAGGGTGTGTGTTTTGGACAACACCTGAGACCCTGATACATACATCTCATCCCATCGGCTTGCTTCTGTTTCACATGGAGACATTACACAAGTGGTTCTTTAAAGGAGCTTTCTGCCCTTTTGTGTTTCCTCAGTTGGATCTGAGTTGAGTGGGACGGTACTGGAAGATGCTGATGACTGTGAAGTGACCAGTCGAACTAATCAGAATTAGGGCAGCTGTTTTTTGTCAGTAGCTCCTTTCCTCAGCCACACCCCACACAAACTAAGTGGCGCAACCGTCTAAGCGTGGGTTCAATCATCAGGAGATCGCGAGGCCGGGAGTCCGAAAGAGCACAATTGGCCTCGCTCTCTCTGAGTGGGTAGGATGGCCCCCTGTTATCCTCCCATCACTCAATGCAATAACAGAACTGGCGCTTTCCTCTGTGCATGTTCGGCTGTCCAATGATATTGCGCTAGTGGCTGGCTTCACAGGGCTCAGAGGAAGCCTGTGCTAGCCTTTACCCTCCTAGCACTGGTAGTATCGTGTGATTGGGGGAGTCCTAATGACTAAATTGAGGGCAAAAAAAATGGGGAAAAAAAACACACAAATTGTGAAAAGCACAGTGTTAATAAAAAAGAAAAAAATAACTCTGCCAGAAAATAAAAGCACAAAAAACAGCCTGTTGCAATGGCTTTGCTTATGTTGCCACGGCTACATTTTTTTTCTAGTTCTATTTGACATATTTGAAATATTAATCATGATTTATTTTCCAAATCCAGCTTTTATCAATGATCAAGTCACAAATATTTAGGATCATTTTAGTATTTGTAGTATTTTGCCAGCCCCTTTAACACTGCAGACAACTCATTCTTTTTCTCAATATTGCAACTGCAGGCTTTTTCTTTAACTCCTCCTTTTTATATAGCTTTACCCAGTTGTGTTTTTATTGTTTTCCATCACTGACACTATTTACATCTAAGAATACTCAAATAGAATAGCAGTTTGAAGACAGTTAATTGTTCTGTCAAACATATGTGCCCGTCTCCGAAGCAAATGCTTTTTAATATGAGATCCAAATGTGTTTTAATTTGGTATTCTGTGTGTAGCTGACATTTAGATGCACCAATGCAAGCGCCGACTTCAATCACAGGACACGCAGACAGTCACAGTGCTCAGTAGATAACTCTGATGCAACATAGTGAAAGAGCAAATGCAACTGACACAGTGCAGTCACTCTCTGTCAGAACCACTGCTGTTCCCAGTGCTGTCACGCTTCATTCTTCTCTTTACTGCCTTCCCTTTAATCATTCTTCTACCATCCGAAGCAGCAGCACCAGTGACTAGCTAATATCTCTGCAAGCATAATTGGGACATCGATGCACTGACTGTTTTCAGCACAAACAAACAGCGTTCTGCGTTTGCTAAATGTTTCAGTCAAGTTTATAAAGAGGTTAAAGAAAAAACTACATGCGGGACCAAAGTGCTGCTCATTATCATAAGAGATGAGCTGTCAAACTTGTGATGCTTTACATGGAGCAAATCCACAGAGATTGGTGTTCAGCCTCAGGCTGGCAGGGTCTCCAGCCGAGAAACTAGTTTAAGTTCTCAGTATGTGGCAGTTTTTGCACCTTAAAATTCAGGTTCAAAAATCTTCCCTCTAACTGTCAACGTACAAAACGTAAACAACAAACACTACAAAAGCAAACAGAGCCAGTAAGTCATCACTCTTTTCTTATGCTTCTTTACAAAGCAATTTTACCACCCACACCCAAATGAGAGACAATTACTATGCAATTTACTAAGTGGCTAGACGTGTAAACCTGAAGGATAAATCTTAAGGATGGATTCTTGCAGTAAGCACAAGTTATCCAACGTAAGCACCAATATCATTCATTCTTTTACATGTGGGCAATATGGCAAACATATAATACCATAATACTAATCAGAATATTAAGCTTTTTCTGAGGTTTGTAAACAAGGAGGAACAGAGAAAATGCACCAACAATACAGCAGTGTCACATTTAAAAAGGGCTATGAAAAAGGACAATTTCTTTTACTTTAAGAATTCAATTTGTTTATTTACTACTAAGATTACTATTACTTTTTTAGCATTTGATATGTTTTTACTATTTAACATCTCAATCCCTGATTTCTGTATTGGCTCAGCTACATCGTAAATGTGGGTCTCCCTCAGTGTACTCCGAGCTTAAATAAAGGTCGACTGATTGACTTATTTAAAATTTATTTTTTGACATTTGATGGAGACGCAAGATGAAAATCAACAGTTGTTTGCTATAAACATGTTCAGAAATAGGCCATTTATTGCTTACATATTTATGATATAAATGAGCCACGTTAAGTGCACTCACACTGTATTAGAATGCTGTTACACCTGTACCACAATGTCACAGCATAATTATGTATGACTCATTGTTCCAAATAGTCAGTTGCCTCTTGCTTTTGATTTTGCACTTTATTTGATTCATGTTATTTAAACAGGCAACTGACTTTTTTTTTGGATTTGGCCTAAAAAAGAGCAAACAAGGTTTTTTATATTGCAGCTTTGACTAAAAGAAAATACGGATTTCTTGGATTTCTCGGCTGTAAAGAAATTAGAACAGGCTGTAAAAGAATATGATCTGTTGCATATTCTAACTTTTGGTAAAAATAACTGAATAAGATGGTATAATAATAAGCTGACATCCAATCAGCTACTTGTTGCTATGCAGTTTATGCAGTGGCTATGTTTACTATATCCTAGTTGATGTTTCTCAATAACTGGTTTAAATTAGTGTTTCCCAAACTGAGGTGTACACATACTGATGTTGGGTGGTATGTCAAAAAACTGACGATAATCTTCATTTAATTTCATTCCATTAGCCAGCCATGCAGTTACCTCCAATGATAAAGACAACACAAACAACTCTACCACTCCTGCACAACACTCAGTTTCTGAGCAAAAGAGCCTCAATGAAAAAGCTACGAAAGATTTCTGAATACTTCGTTTACTCAGAAGCCAATGCCAGATTTCTGGGCAGTGTTACTTTTACATACTTTTACATATGGCATTTATGCATGAGTGATGAGTGAGCGCGATATTTAACATCCAGTACATGGCAGACTCATGCTACATTTAACATTTAGGTAGTTTGCTCTTTATTGGTTTTTATTTGTATAAAGTACTGTGTTAAAGAATAAGGCTCTGTACTCTTCTGGCTTCTTCTGTGTGTTGGGAAGAAACTAATACTTAATGCGAAGGCATGTATGATCCTTGTAAGTTGTGCTTATGTGTTTGTAGCACTGCTAAATGCCCTGCAGATGATGGTGATATGCTGATGTGAACAGTGGAACACGCTAGTGAACATTTATCTGCTGTTCATTTTACAGCCACAAGCTCTCATACTGACCACTACTTGTCCTGCCTTTGTGAATACAAATAAAAAATGTTAATTCTCCCTCATCCCGGCACTCTTACCAGCTCTCCAGACTGAACCACACCTAACATCCGGGCCTTAAACCTAAACGCCACTGTCATTATTTCTTTATTCAGTATTATTCAGTACATTTGGTGATTTGTCTTGCATCATAGACATGTTTTATAAATTAAAGGAGATTAATTATAATGGCAACGTATGTGTGTGTATGTGTAAGGAGCGAGAGGGGCTACACAGCAGGAGGTTTAATGTCATAGGACTGTAAAAGGTTTGGGAACCACTGATCTAGATCTTTATGATGCATATACCCATGATATACTCAGAAAAGTATATTGTGACATAAATGATAGCGATGGCATATCGTCATATTGCCCAGCTCAACATTCATTCATGTTTTTTAGCAGCATGGTAATCTAGCAAACTTTCTAAGGTCACTCAAGGCACTTCTAAATACAAGCAACCACGATTTCTCCAGGGCATTTTAGTTGTGTGTCACTGGCTCATTTACTTTCCCCACTCTTGTATGAATGAAGACTGAGAGGGCAAGGCTTCACTCAGAGGAAGAACAGCCAGGTGTAAACACGCTAGCGGTGTTTAGGTTAGACCTCAAGAATCTGAACTATGCACTGACAGCATTCCAACACATATTGAGCCCCCCGGCTGGAGTATGCTATACTGAATACTGCCTTGTGGCAACACCCCTTATTAAATGCAGATGATTATGCAGCGGTACGCCAATGTATTGTGTTAACACATGCCTGTTAATGTAAATTTGTACCAGCCAGCAATTCCTAATGCTAGCTGTCAGCAGTTGAATTAATACTTCACATTCCAGGACCACAGTCAGAAAGGCTGAAGTGCACAGGTACTACAGCTTACTAGAATCATTTCAGCTGGTAGATTTAACTCATTTTCCAGCTTCTGTCACATGCAGACACAGTATTCGGTAATTTGGTATACTGTAATATCAAACCATCACTGCAATTTAGCCAAAACAGTTTCACATGAGACATGCAGAGCAGCTCTACTAGCTGTCATGCTCTGACCATGTGATGTAGTCCCTTCTTTTAGTGCAACCTATAAACAATCACAAAAGCCCTCAGCACGACAGAAGGAGGAGCAGACAGGTAACTTTTATCCATCAGAAAGGAGAAATCTCATATCCCACTCAGCTTGGAGAGGGGAGGAATTCTCAGTCTCACTAATACACTTTGCAGTCATAAACTCATGTGTATAAAGTAAAGGGCTTGATAGTTTATCAAACAAAGTTATATAATAACTGGTGCTGCATGTTTATGACGATTAAAAGATACAGTGCAGTATGTGCCATATATATGTTGGTAAAGTACATGGACTAATAGCTTGTTCCATGCTGTATTTTATGCTGGAGCAGCTTTACAGCTCTTGGTAAACGTCTCTGTACTCTATGGCACTGGATTTTCAGCCCCAGTCCTGACTGCTAATAGTCATGTATGATAATGATTCCCAGTGAGCATCATTATGTAGACAGTTCTTTTTTTATTTTTGATGATTCCTTTGTTGTAAATATTGCCCACATATACTCCTATTTAAAAATGACATTTTATGTAACACTAAAAATGCAAAAATGGTATAAAATAGTAAACTGCAATAAAAGGTCAGGTAACTATTGTGATAATTTATTTCAATATGGCCATCATGCCTAGCCACTTCCTCATTTTTGCTATGTACCCTAGTTAGTCATCATGAGAAACATCATGACATGTCAGGACAATAACCAGTAATGGTTACACTGCTATATTACTTGATATAACTTGTCATGACAACGCATGACAGCATATGACATGTTTTTGGCATGGTTATGTCAAAGTTTTGTAGCAGGTTTCAAGTGTTACCGAGTTTTGGGCACTGAGTTTTATCATCCTGTGCAGTACTGTGTCTGTTTAAGAGATCCCATCTGCACTGCTTATTTGCTTTAACCAATGGTAATCTCATAAACTCATTTCATTACTCCTGTTACTATTGTCTCCGCGAAAACAATCAATGTGTCTATGTATGTCTGAGTTTCTGTGAAAGTGAAAAAGAAAAAGAGACAGAAAAAGGTACAGACCTTTTTGAAAAGCCTGATGACATCCTCGCTGATCTGAGCCAGGCGGACGATGACATTGTTGATGTAAATGTCGTTGAGCGTGGCGTGATCTCTGCTCTCTCTGCGAGTCTGATTCAAAACCAGGTACCAGCAGTTTACTGAGGAGAGTAGGTGCTGATCTTTCCTAAAGGACAGAAAAGGGGCATAAGAGAGAGATTTTAACATTTCAGTGGTCAGTGCAGATTAGAACTGAAATATATTTAGATTTCAAATATGCATTTTAAATATACATTGTAAATAAACAAAAAAATACTGATTTAAAAAAATGTCCTTTAAAATTCCTGGACTTTTAATAAATACAGAAACGCAGAAAGACATAATTAATTCGATTCCACACTGTTCACAGTTCTACATATAGCGCACCTTGACAGACTTTCACTTAGAGCTCTGACATGCAGGGTTACAAAATAACATCCAGAAATAAAATCAATGCGGTTACACTCTTTGAAAGCTGGTGGCATTTTCTCATTCTTAGAACCTAACTAATCCCAAATTCACTCAGTGATGTTGAGGCCTGAACTCTGTCCAGTTTCTGTGTTTTAGTGCATATTTTCTATTTCTTTTTCTTAGCAGCAGCTTCTTGACAGCTGCACATCCTTTTCAGACTCATAGTGTTGAGTTGTCTTCTCACAGTGGAAGGATGGACAAAAAAACACCTGTGGATTTTTTCAGATCTAAAGCCAAAGTGGAGCTTGATTTTCTTCTCTTGCTCAAAGATGAAAGCTTTCAGTACTGTTTATCTGATAGTGTCAGTTTTGGTGGTCTACAGGGTCTACCAGAGTCCCAGTTTCTCCATATATCTTAATAAGTTTTGAATTCTAGTTTTAGAAACTTCTGTTTTTTTGCTTATTTTCTTTTGGCATTTCTATTCCTTATGCAAGTGGATTATCTAATATCTAATCTCCTTAGAAAATATCTCCTCCAGCCATTTTAGATGCATATGAGAAAGAGACAGCTAAGTTGTGTTTGGATAGTTCATTATGTAAATGTTAGAGTCACCAACATTCATAATGTCAGTGACACCTCTGGGAACAGCTCTGTTGCGTTTTAAGATTGGAAGGTTAAGCGTTCAAGTGGCAGTAAGATGCCCAAAATAGCAGATAAATTAAACAACTGATTATCATTCTTAGCGTTGGGGACTTTTTTTCTGACAGTGAAAAGTGAAATACTGAGCGGTTGTTTTGCCTGGAAATTCAGTAAACGAAAGGGTGGTAGCTCAGGAATCTACATGAGTCTACATAACTAGAGTTGTCTGAGAACAGAGTCAATGTCATTTCAAATGTGTTCAATAGAGCTTCTGGTGGCCCCCATTGTTCCTAATATCAGAGACACTGAGGGCCTAAGGGATATTTCTCTCTGTCCCTTGTTCGTCAACACACCATTCGAATGCCCCTCTTCCCCTGAACACATGCTTTTACGCACAAACATGCAGTCTGACAGCACATCGATCACTTAATTCCTTCACGCTGCTAATCATAATGACCCTGAGAGAGAAAGCGTCCTAGCTTGAGCCTAATCAGCTTTCAGGGCCGTAAGCCTGCGCTAACCACCAACCCCGACTTGGCCCCTGCCTCAATCCTATCTCCTTCCCCAATCAATCAACAAGCTCGAGGATGAAGAAAGAAAAGAATGGATGAGAGGAGAATCTCAAGAAGCGCAGAGATAGCAGGATGAGGTTTCAGATAAGGGATGGGAAGGCAATTACTTTGGGGAGTTTGAGGACATGAGAGAGAACATCAAAGCACAGGCCCTTCGGAGAGTTAGCGTAATGCTAATCACCGCTAATGAAGTGCGTATCTCTCTCCTGCAGTGTGAAGCTAGCATTATTAGCCTGCTAATCCGCCCCCACCACCAGAGATGAACAGCAAACAAAGTAGCGTATGCTAACCGCCCTGTTATTAATCTCTTAGTCTCTTTATCATGCTGGCAAAACCACTAATCTGGTCCTCCACATTAATGTTTGGTGGGCTATATTTACAACATGCTGCAAGAATTACAATTTGCTAAATGAGAATTTAATAGACACAGGGTGTGTCGAAACTCCACCTATCTAATGCTTTTTAATCCAGCAAGTAATCACATTAGTTTTCATGGCTTATACGCAATGTACCTAAGTAACTATATTAAACACATTATGCTAAATGTATTCTGTTACCACCCAACCCTGCAAGCCAAGTCTGGTAGAGCCCAATCCTGTACATCATAGTACAGACAAGTAGAGGAGAAAGTTTTCTCTTCATCTGCAAGGATCAAGACGTGACACAATCTAGCAAAACAGGAAGTGGACATACATAAATACACACAAACATAAAGGCCATAAGTAAATGAGACCAACACTGTTGAGCTAGTCTTGTGTGGCCAGACGTGATCTCGTAACCAGAACACACATCTGGGGACAACTTGCTTAACCAAAGTCCTCACAGAAAAGTCTGTAGGATCATGACGCGACACAGTCTAGCAAAAAGGAAGTGGACATACATAAATACACACAAACATAAAGGCCATAAGTAAATGAGACCAACATGGTTGAGCTAGTCTCGTGCAGCCAGATGGGATCTCGTAACCAGAACACACATCTGGGGACAACTTGCTTAACCAAAGTCTTTACAGAAGAGTCTGTCCACTCATAGGCTATCTTGGCAACAGCCTCAGGCAGTTATTTCTAGTCATATATGACAAGACTCCTATTTCTTTAAATGGGGAGAGACCTATAAACCCCAAAGTGAAAGTAGCATTAATGCTTCATATTTGAAATCACTGGTACAATCTGACAAAAATAAAGTATAAATAGTTTGTACCGTGTGGCTCAAGTAACACACAAAAACGTGTTTTTCCAGCTAGCTCTGGATGCACATGCACATATCTTAACCAGTAAGCCAACTGGCTCGTTTTGCTGAAGGAAGAAACCTTCCCAATACACAGATGCCATGTTGAGCGTTACAAGCGTTCCCATTCATTTTCCAACCAATGAAATGTGTCCTCCTTTATAATATCTCTGGCTAAATTTCTGTGGCAAACTCATCACTAACAAGGGTGAGCCCTCTCTAAAACCTTCCTACAGTTTATAAAATACCGTCGATAATAGAAGCAAAACAAGCTAGTTATTGAAACGCTGACGTTAGCTAACGGAACTTTGAAGAGATAATGTTCATTTTTACTGCATGTAATGTTTTCTCTGCACATGCGACTCCTGCCTACAGGCTTAACTGGGGTTTTTGGGGGGCTTTTCAACCTCGTTAACTGATATTACATCCATGGGCTTGTTGTCTGTCAGAGACCCACTTTCACCAGGTGTTGGATTGGTTTAGAGATTTTACACTGTTTGTTTCTAGTCTAATAAGTTCCCACCCATAATTTTTCATGCTTTTCCACAGATAGCTACTTTTAAATGAAGCACTTCACTTAAGGAAAGCATCTAAATTACTAAAAACACTCACAGGGAGAAACATACAGCTAATAACAACACATCACACAGTGTGAGTGTGGGCTATTACAGGTTAGATTTGTAGCAGAATTTGATCAGATTCTTTTTTTTTCCATTGTCTGTTGACATTGGCCTAATACAGATATCAGATCAGTGTCATTATACCGTGTGGATGTTCTTTAACCTTTAAAAATGTTCTTTACATCTCATTTGCAAAATGATTCTTTAGAGAACCACCCACTGAAAGGTTCTTTAGGGAACCAAATTCACCACTTTGTTTCAGAAACAGGACAAGATTTCTTCAGCTCATCGCTGTCTCCACTTTGCAGTTCAGGGGGCTCTGATTTGGAACTGGGTCATTCTCAGTGAGCCCCAGGCTGATTCTTCTTAACATTGTCAATGGAAAATGTCTATCTCTATCCAGAACTCTTGGAGTGACCTTATTCTCTTCCTTGTTCTGCCTTTTACATTTATTTATTTATTTTTTCCACATTTTGAGAATGTTCCAGAAATATCACTCCAATGGAGTAATAAAAAAGCAGGGCATGTATATCAAATGACTAGTGAATGAATAATTACTGCTCCTTTCATAAAGTGAGATTCAATTATGTAATCCAGAATCCATCCCTATACAATTAAATTGCCTGTTTTTATCTCAGCTAATGCTACTAGCCTAGACTGTTACCATATTTTACCTTAAAATTTGAGCTAGAAAACCGAGAGTTTGTGACGAATCAGTTAACTGATACCAAAAGTAATAAATTCACTAATTGAAATATTTCTTCTATTAAATCTATACCTATATCTGTAAGCATAAAATGAGGTTGATATTCTTATTTATCAGAGCTGCTTTGTGCAACGCTTCCTATTAGCTATGGCTGCAATTTGTACTATATGTTGCATTTGGTATAGCTCTTCTCCTCTGGAGAGCAAGCAAGTTTGAAATATGGTAAGTAGAATGGAGAACACAGTCTTAGTTAGTTACAGTGAATGTTCACTTTCCCACACAGGTTTTAATATTACCCTTATATTATCTAAATACAAGATGAGCTTGGATTTCTGCATCAGAGCTGGGCAATATGACGCTATTTTATTGTTACTTTAATACATTTTGCTATTGTGACAATATGCTTTCCTGAGCATATTGTGGATATTATCAGTACTTAAAGAACACTGACCAACTGCACGGTTCATTACACAGAGAGCACAATTAGTGTTGTTTAACTGGACTCAGCACTGTGTGAACCAAATAATCAAACGTATTGTGTATCAAAGGTGATAATTTGATTTTTATGATATTTTTGCCATATCACCCATCCCTAATCTATAAGCTCAGATTGTACCTATTTCCTCCATCCCTCTCTGGTTTCACTCTCCTGTCTGTCTGTGTTTGTGTGCAGAAAACTACAAGAAAGTGTAAGGAATTTTGTAAAGGCAGGCATGCATTCCTTAAACATTACTATAATCACGTTAACAGGCTACGTGTGGGCCATAGTGAAGTTAAAGGGAAACAGACAGAGAGATATTACTTTCTCTGTTTTTTTTTGTTTTTTTTGTGCTGTAGCACCCACCCTCTTTCCTTCCCAAACGATCCAAAGGGTTCCATTTTTAAACATTTTTCTAAGTTGAACTAGGAGTGGAGTTATCTGAAACAAAGGGGTTGTCATCAGTCTAACTATGAGAGCATATAACAGAGCTAT